TTTAACACCCCCAGCTAATGTCAAATCTAAGTGGACCCCACTTTGATTATAACATTTATTATATAATAATAATAATAATAATTAATAAAAAAGACAACAAAATCCCTTTTAAATATATAAATAATAATTTAATTTTTTAAAATTTTATAATTTTTTTAAAATTTTTAAAAAATTTTTTATCATTAATAAATTTATATAAATTATTAAATTATTTTTATTAAAAATAAATGATTCACAATTTTTATTTTTAATATTACAATAATGTAACAGCAGATAAATAATTTAACATGTGAAATTGTGATTCATTGTTGCATTATTGTGACGATAAAAAAAATTTGTGAATCATTTATTTTTAACAAAAACAATTTGATAATTTATATAAATTTATTAATAACAGAAAAGTTCCTAAGGACATTAGGGGAATTATGGCATTTTGAGGTGGTCATGAAAAAATAACAATAAAATCCCTCTAAAATGTATAAATGAAAAGTTGGCCCTTCAAAATGTCATAATTTCTCTGAAGTCTTTAGAAACTTTTATGTCATTAATGAATTTATATAAACTAAAAAATTACCTTTGTTGAAAATAAATTATTCACAAGTTTTTTTTTAAATATTCGCAACTTTTTTCTTATAGTTGCAACTATGCAATAATAAATAAAAAATTAATATATGAAGTTGTGATTTGCTATTATATTGTTGCAAATACAAGAAGGAAAATTGTGAATATTTAAACAAAACTTGTGAATTATTTATTTTCAACAAGAGTAATTTAATAATTTATATAAATTCATTAATAATAGAAATGTTCCAAAGAACTTCAAAGAAATTATGCTATTTTGAAGGATTAAATTATTATTTATACATTTGAGGGGAATTTTATTCTCATTTTCCCTTTTAGGGGACTTCAAAACCATGTATGTCACTTTTTTTTTTGGATCTTTGAGCATTTAAAATTTGGATTCAATTTTTCATTTCATTTAAATACTCTCTTTGTTTGAAAATATAAGATATTTTTGAGAGGTTGGATGTTAAAAAATGTAAAGCATGTTAATCTTTCGAAATGTGAGTATTGCCTTTTTTTCAAAAGTGCCCTTATTGATAATGACTTTATATTTATTATAGGGTGATTGATAAAGATAAATATAAAAGATAGGGTTAATTTGAAAGTAGGTAACTACTTTATTAGAGGTGAGATTTGGTTAAAAATGTCTTATATTTTTAAACGGATGGAATATATTTTTAACTAACTGTAACATAGTAATTGAATTATTTATTTGAAATATTTTTTAATACTCCCTACTCCTTTAATGACTTTTCTTTTTTAAAAATTATATTTTTTATTCTTTTTAGTAAAACAACCTCACTCAATTAATTACTTGGTAAATTTCAACTACCATAAAATTACATCCCAAAATTACCAAAATCCTAAAATAAAAATATCAGATGTTATAAACGACATGTTTTTTTTTTTTTTGAGAATCACATCCAAGGACCTGACAAGAAATTTATTCATAGGCAAAGACTAATAACAAGTTTCATTCAATAAAAAACTATTAAATATTCCTATTTTAATAACAACTAGATTAACTTCCATGCATTGAATGGATTACACATGAGACAAATAAGCAAAATATTTTAGAGATCAACATTTAGAATATTTCAACGCAAAAATTAATGTTCCTTTTTTTATAAATAAACTCATGAACATTAAGATTAATTTTTTAAAAAAAATTGACGTAAAAAATGTGAATTATGTGCTTTTGTATTTGAATTACATACAATGTAATTATATTTGTTATTTCAAAATCATGTTTACAATGTATTGTCAGAAAAATTACCACACAAATTTCTTTCATTGAAATTATATATAATTATATGTATAGTAATTTAAATGTGAGAGAATTAATCTAAGTAAATTGCACAAGTTTCATATAAGAAAATTGTAAGAAATAATATATATATATATATATAAAACCAAATAACACTACAAAAAATAGCGATTTAATGACAAAATTTAGAGACGAAATAAATTTCAATCACTAATTATCGCTAAAATAAAGATAAAATTTAGCAACGGAATGTTTCGTAACTAAAATTTTATCATTATTCCGTCGCTAATCCATTAGAAATAATTTAGCAATGGAATTTGCCAACAAAAAATTTCATCGTTAATTTTTAGGATATCTTATCCTAATTTAATGATGGAAATTTCTATCACATAGCTTTCTAGCATCATTCCTTTGCTAATTCTATCACAAATTATTTTTAATTTAATTTTATTAATTATAATATATATTTATATATACTCCCTCCATTCAAATTATATGGTATTTTTTGAGAAGTTGGATATTCAAAATGTAAGGTATTTTTAATCCTTCAAGGTGTAATCATTGCTTTTTTTTTCTAAAAGTGTTCATATTGATAGTGACTTTATATTTATTATAAGGTGTTTAATAAGGGTAAATATAAAAAGATAGAGTTAGTTGAAAAGTAGGTAATTACTTTATTGAGGGTGAGATTCAATTAAAAATGCCTTACATTTTTTAATGGAGGGAGTAATTTATTGTTATGCAATAAATATATAATTTAAAAAATTATAATTTAAAATAATTTTTTATTTGAATTTGAATTATTTATATAGTATTGACAATAATAATTTAAATTGTATACTTAATTATTCTTATTTAAAAAAATATTAATAAATAAAAATTTAAAAATTTAAAATATTATATATTATCTAGATGCAAATTATAATATAATATAATATGCAATGATAGTAAAATATTTTTCAATTGAATATTAAATTTATTATCAAAAATAATTTTTAAAATAAAATATAATAAAAATAATTATTATATATAAATTAATTTTTCCATCCTAATAAATAAATATAATTTTAAAAAATAAGTAAATTTAAATAATATATTTATTAATATATATATATATATATGTATGTAGTTAAATATTATATATTTAATTTATCAATTAAAATTAAAGATTCATTTCAGCTCAACTAGCAATAAGGTGAACGCAAAGATATTAGGGAGTATGAGGTTAAAAATTCAAACTTGGTCAAAGCACAATTAAAAATAATAATATTTGACATGACAATAACAAATGATGTCACAATGAGGTGGCACTGAAGTGGTGGTAAGGTTGCATTGTTCCACCTGAGTAACGTGGCATTTATATTTTGGCCAACCTACAATGAAATTAACAATGGAATAAGTCCATTGAGAAATTTGTGATAAATTAATGACAAAATGCATTCCATCACAAAGTCAGAATAACTTAACTTTATTTAGAGACGAAAATTTTTCATCATTAGTTCGTTGCTAATTAGCAATAGAATGCAATTCAATCGCTAATTAGTGAGGGTATTTTTACCAATGAAAATATTTAGTTGCTAACCTGTTTAGTGACAAAATTTTTACTGATTAGCTAATTAGCTATTTTTTTGTAGTGTAATATAGACTTGCACTTGTCAGCTATGAAAATTTTTACAAATTAATACATTTTTAGTTCATTTTATGGTAATGGAGTGCGAGATAATGTTTTATCACCTAGCACAAGTGACAATAAGGGTGCTAGTTAGGCGTACAAGAAACTTTCCTATTTGCTCAAGCCCACTCCATTGACATTCCATAACAAAACAAACCATAATTCCAAAATTTAAAAATTGTAAGACTCACAAAATAAAATGATACATTTTTAACATTCTAAGTATTCGTAAGAATATAAGACAACTCCTTATAATGTAACCACACCCTTTTTCTGCCAATAAAATCAATGATCCAAGCATTTGTTATAGCTCCAAGCATTGCACTAACAGTGACTAAAGATCCAAACATGAAAAACCATGATCCATAAAAGAGAAGATGAAATTAAGTATTAGTAGGAGTCAAGACAATAGAGCCCAATTCAATTTTGTCTAAGCCCAATAGTAATAATGCCCTAATTGCTTATAGCCCAATATGTTCATAATAGATATTTATCTTGTATATTTTTAATTGTAATTATTTATTCTTTATGATGTAACACATGTCTACATTTGATGTATTGGGGTTTCCATTTAAACCTTATATATAGTAATGTATTCATGGGGCTCTATGCACCTTTCTATCACATCCATATACTTGCTATTTTATTATCTTGGTATCAGAGCCATTACAGCTTTATTGCCATGGCTAACGAAGGTTCCCAATCCACTTTAAAGACTCCTACTTCTACTCACAGCTCACTAGTCTCTACTACAAACCTGCCAAAACTCTGAATAGGTTCGTTTGGTCCTTTTTAAAGTTGTTCGGTGTGTCTGGATTAGACCAACTAATCCCTGTGAGCAACTCATGTCTTGCCTATTATCAAGGGTCACAAGTTAGAGGGGGTTTACCAATGGCTCTAGCTCCTATCCACCCTAGTTTTTGGTTAAAAATAATGTCTCAAAACTCAATCTATAATTTAAAAATTGGGTTGCTACTGACCAACTTCTCTTTGGTTGGCTTCTTAACTCTATAAGCATTTATGTCTCCTCTAAAATGACCTCTGTCTCTACTTCTTTTGGTCTTTGGCAAGTTGCATGTGCCATTGCAAGTGCACACAATAAGGCTCGTGTCACTACTATAAAAATAACTTATAGGAGCGCCTATTTCAAAACGCTTACATAAAAAACGCTCCAAAATATAAAGGCGAAATATATGGAAGCGCTTTTAAAAAAAAGAACTTTGATATATAGAACATATAGGAGTGCTCTGGTAGGTCACATAATTTTTTTTTAAGAAAATATAATTAAAATATACAGAAGCATTCCTATAGACTGCACTTTAAAAAAACTAAATATATAGTCTAGCGGAGCGCTTTTGGATATAAGCCTAGCGGAGCGCTTTTGGAGTAGGATTTATGTATGGGAGCGCTTCACTGCAAAGCGCTCTGAATTTCTTATTTTATTTTATTTTTTTTTTAAATCACTATAAAGTTAATCAAACCCCAACCTCCCTCGACTTTTCGACTCTCTTAGCGCCCCCCTCTCCCTTCTCGCACAAAAACCTTCGAGCAATGCCCTTCTCTGTCACAGCCGTCCGTCTAGCACCGACTCCTCTTTCACAACCGTCAGCCATCGTCGCACAGCTTCACCATTAGCCATCTCGTCAGTTCGTCCGTGAAGCTTCTGCGTCAAATCGTCTGTATCCTGGGCTTCAGATCTGTACAGATCTAAATTGCTACAGTGTCGTCACTGCTCCTCCACCATAAGCCATCACCGCCACACTGTTGCTCTATCGCTAAGCTGCTGTTTGGTACCATCCCTTCTTCTCTCCATCTCTTCTGTGACACGCTCTTCGGTAAGTATTGTTCTTCTTCATTTTGTTAATTAATGTTATTTGCTGTTCTTTGAAGCAATCTCAGCAACCCAAGTAATATTTAAGCTTTCTTCAGGATGGAGTATATCTAATTCGATTCTCGAATACCTTATAAAGTAAGTCACCATTCTTACCTTGCCTCAATCGATACGATCAGATTTCCATCACTCACCATAGTAATCTCTATCTTGTTTTGTCTTTAATTTCATTTGTGGAGGTTGAGGGTTTCTTAGTATTAAGGGATGTGGATTCAGCATAATATCTACTATTATGCTTGCTGTCATTTTTTGGTTTCGTTTCTTCATTTTCAATGGTATTTTAAAGACCCCAACCGCAGTAGTAAATTTGCCCTATGATTTAAAGGATGCAAAGGTAGTTCCATTAATAATCATCTATTTGTTATCAAGAATAATCATGGCCTCCTATTAATATTTGAATTTATACGACCCTTGAAATATTATATGCATGTTTTCTTCTGGTTTTATGGTAACACCTTGCTGTGTGAACCTAGTTTCTTTTAGATTTTTTTTTTGCCTTTCTTTGAGAATAACTTGAAGGATGAAGTGTTTATTAGAACTATATCCTTTGCCATGCTTTAGCTGTTCATTAATAATTTAAAAGTAGTGCACGGTCTAAATGGTTCTAATTATATTATGCAATTTGTTTAATATACTTATATCTAAGATCTTCCTACCCTGTTTTGATGACTGAATATTATTCATGATTAACTAAAAGAACAATTGCTATTGAGTTCTATTAGCTAGACATTCTCTCAATACTCTGATTTTTGTTCCACTATTCATATCCCATGTAGGTTCTTTTCAAATATGAAGTGACTATTTTTGTTGTTAATATTTACAATTTCGAATCTATATATTTGATTAATTATTCTTTGCTATATTTTAGAGGGTAAGCAAAGGGAAGCAAAAATTCAACATTGATCTCACGCCATACCATGAATAGAAAGGTAGGCAATGTTTCATTTTCTTCCTGTATTGAATGCTATTGATAGTTTCTGTTTATGCTGGTAATTTTCTAATCATTTCTAATATAGAAATGATGTTGATGCCAATTAAGATGCGTTTTAAGTTCATTTTAAGTGCTGAAGAACTTTTTGGAAATCTGATATGGAAATGCAATGACTTTAGAATCAATGACATTTTTTTATTAGTCTCTTTAATGTTTCCATTAGTTAATGTATGATGTTAAACAAAGTTATAGGGAGAAAGTCTTGATATAGGTTACAAATCTGCTCCAACTTGTTAATTGATCAAGTTTCGAGGTCTGTGATTTTTCAAACAATTCTGCTGTGTTTAATCCAATCAGCTTTGTTATGCTCCATCTAGTTTATTTCATGAAGTGAATGCTGGTTTTCCTTGATATAGAAGACTTGAATTGTGTTTCTAGCTCTTGGGTACGTTAAATTCTTACTTTTTTATTCTTATTTTTGCAGGAACTTGTATTACCATTTTGTTATGTCAAAAAACAAGCCTCTAAAAGATCCTTTGGTTCTTTAGTGATGACTTCATTTATGAGCATGGTTTTATTACAAAATGCAAGGTAACTTTTTGTAATTAATATTGCCTGTGAAAGGAGGTGTAAGATTGATGTGATTTTGGTACTGTGGAAATAATAATAAAAAATTAGGATGTCATATTTAGGAATCTAGTGATAAATAAAAAGGGACATAAAAGACAGAGAAAATTCTTATAAACTCAGGTTGTATGTCTACATTATAGTTATGTAAACTGTAGTGTATATTAAGATGTTGAAATTTTATATAGGGTAAAATTATATATTTATTGATAATTTTGTTATTATGCTTGATTTACTATAAAGGAAAGTGTTTTAAAATTAAATTAATATAATGTTAATTACTTATATGTTGGTTTCATTTTTCATGTAGCATTTTGTGGGACGCAAGATTCTCGCATTTTATTATGGAGATAGAACATGTAAGTGAGGAGTGGTTAGAATATATAATTGGTTGTTTGTGATGATAGTTAACTAGCTTCTAATGTTAGGAAAATACTAATATTGCGTAATTAACATTATAATAACTAGCTTCTAATGATAGGTAATTAGTCATTTGTAATGGCAAGAGAATGTGTACAAAAATTTAAAAATTTGGAAAAATAATACCATATAGGAGCGCTCATGTGAAAAGCGCTCCCCTATAGATGCATACGGGAGCTCTCTTCTAGAAAGCGCTCCCGTATGTCAACATTTAGGAGCGCTTAGTTAGAAAGCGCTCCCGTACGTATATTATTTTAAAATTTTCTCAACATTACAAGAGCGCTTTGACAGAAAGCGCTCCTGTATGTTACAATTATGGGGGTGCTTTTTAGATGAGCGCTCCCATATCTTCAAGTTATAGGAGCGCTTAAAAAGCGCTCCTATATATATGGGAGCGCTAGCTACAACAGCACTTTAAAAGTGCTCTCGTTAGCCAAAAATAAGCGCTCCAAAAAGCTTATTTTGTAGTAGTGTGTTCTCATATTGAGATCTAAACTCTAGTGTACTTGTAAGGGTTATGCATTTATGCATGATTATTTGTCTAAAATGAAGTCATTATTTGAGAGTCTCAATCTTGCTGGCAACATCGTGCCTTATTTTGATTTTCTTCTTCAAGTTCTTGCTGGTGTAGATGGGGAATACAATCCCAACTATCAAAGGAGAGGATATAAGCTGTATTGAGTTTCAATCTACTCTCTTTACTTATGAATCTCATCTTGAGTAGCTTTAACAAATTTTCAAGGTAGTGTCACAACTCAGTTTGTTAATCTGACTATTTTTGACTCCTCTTGTGGAAATTGGCGAGGAGGACATAGTGGACACACTAGAGGTAAAGGGAGATCAGGACATGGTGAGAGACCTTATTACGCTCTTTGTGAAAAGCAAAGGCACTATGTTCAGAACTGTTTCAAGCATTTTGATCGATCTTACAAGCCTTCAAGCTTCACCAATAGCAACAAGAATTCATTTGAGGCAACTGATTCAACCAGAACTCGATCTTCTATGCTTCACCTAAGGTTGTTAATGATGAGTCTTAGTACCTTGATAGTGGTGCTACCGCCCATGTCACTAATGATGCCTCAAGGTTAGATAATGCTATGCAAAATAATGGTAAGATTCGACTATTGATTGCTAATAGTCAACATAGGGATGTTGCATAGTTTGGTTCTCCAAAAATCCAAAATGTGCTTGGTCAATGTGTTGTTCTTAATGACATTCTTTATGCTCCCACGGTTAAGAAAAATTTACTTTGTATTCCTAAGATTTCTAATGGCCATAGTGCTACCGTGGTTCTTAACTCTTAATCTGCTCTTGTGAGAAAACAGGGGACAAAAACAACTCTACTTTAGGGGGTGAGAAGTGATGGAGGTCTCTATACGGTTACTGCTAAGAAAGTCAAAAGTAAGAAAGCAGGTGCTAGTAACTCTCATCTAGCATTCTCGGCTAATCAAGTTATGGATAACAACACTAGTGGAAAGATTGATAGTTCAAATTCCTCTTTAATTTCAACTAGAAGACTTTGGCATTGTAGGCTTGGTCATCTAAATGACCGAATTTTGAAATAAGTTATTAGTACTTGTAATGTTAAAGTTAATGAGAATAGTGAACCTTTATTTTGTGAATCATACAAGTTTTGCAAGTCTCACTCTCTTCCCTTTAAGGTTTATATTTCTCATGCTTCTTATCCACTTGACTTGATTCATACTAATTTATGGGGACCTTTACCCATATAATCTCTCAATGGATATTGCTATTACATTCTATTTTTGGATGACTTTAGCCATTAGAGCTAGATTTTTCCTCTTAAAACTAAGGATGAGGCTTTGCAAATGTTCATAAAATTCAAATAGTTTGTAGAGAATTACTTTGATAGAAAAATCAAAGCCATTCAAAATGATTGGGGGGTGAATATAGAAGTTTTACTAAAGTTTTCAAGATGCTAGAATTCATTTTAAACACTCTTGTCCCCTTACCTCTCCTCAAAATGGTAGGTTGAAAGGAAACATAAACATAAGCTTACATGCCATTATTCTATTGGTCGGAGGCATTTCACACTGCCATGGAACTCATCAATAAACTTCCTACACTAGTCCCGGGTGGTATCCCTCCTTATTAGAAGTTGTTTGTCAAAATACCATATTACAATAGTCTAAAGTTTTTTAGTTCAACTTGTTATCCTTGCCTAAGAGACTACAATCAACACAAGCTACAATTTTGAACCCAACTTTGAGGTTTTTTTGGGTTACAGCAATCATCATAAAGGATATTGTAAAGTCTCCAAATCTGGACTATAAAGTCTCATCTCAATCTGAGCTTTACCATTTCACACCATCCAATGAACAATAGAAAATCAAAATAATAGTCCTTTATTTGTTTTTAAAATTGTGGGATCCCAACTTCTCAAAACATGTATTCAAATAAGAGAGTTAGCGATAGTATAAACACAATCATAAGACTCAAAACATCACAAATCCTCAACCTTGAAAATGGGCCGTATGCCGCGACGTGCAACATGTGTGCCACGACATGTGGCACAAAACCACATGCTCTATTTCATACTGCATCATGTATCGCGGTGCGCCTGTTCGAAATTCTATTGTCATTTTGATAGCAAAAATGACAAACTTTTGACGTGTGTCATTTTCACATTCGATATCTGATTGGAGTAATTCAAGCACTCAGATGAAGCTTATGATGTCTACTAGTTAATGGAACAAGTTTGGACTTGATCTAACAATCCAATCTAAAATTGAACAACCAAGTGCAAAAAGTCACATTTTCTTTTAAAAACTCACACCTTAAGTACTCAATTCTCACTCCTTGTCCCATGAGACCACTTCGGCCTTGAACCAAGTCCAAAATGATCATATACACTTAATTAACATCATACATATCAAATATCACATCAATAGTCCATTTTGGCCTCTTAAAATTACATTACACACTTATGGTCTTATGTAAGGAAAACACATATATAACACATAATCATATATAAAACTAGACTTGTTCCACTTCCAACCCTTTGACTTTCACATATGGGGCTCTACCTCACCATATGGTCGGGAGTCATAAATGTCCTCGAATATTTCAAATGGGGCTCTGCCTTACCATTTGTGTTAATTTCTCAAATCACAACACAATACACATTCAATTCAAATAATCAATCACAATTAACACATATATACTCTAGTGGAACAAGTTACAATATCATACACTTGATTGTTTCGCATTTAGGCCTACTCACATACCTTTCACTGGGGCACTCTCAGCGCAATGCAATATCATATATATATATATACATATACAAGTAATATTCACATCATAACTCACTTTGTCGTATTCATATATAATTATGCATCCTAATTGGCAACTTAACTCAATAAATAACTTTAAACATAGTAGTCATACCACTACCAATTGAGGCTACTCTCTTCACTTCCTTTCCCGGCCTTCTCATGCTCTCTTCACCTGTGTTCAAAAGTAACAGAGTGAGGCATACATCCCAGTAACTCAGAAGTAACCCCAATTACCAGTTAGTAAGCAAAATCATAAACAAGTGATAAAGTAGTATGTATAGTCATAAAGCAGTAACATATGTATATATAGAAATTCATTCTCATCAATCTCATTATGTTCATGCAATGCAGTCTTGGTTTCCCTCAGTAGATTAAACCCTACACTCGAACCAGGCCTTCTAGTCCTAAGGAACAGTGTCCACCATCCATTATTCATAGTCATTAACCTTATAGGCTACTTAAACAATCATAACAACCTCCTAACACATTCATTCACCTAAATTTCTCCTTTTAACCTAACTTTTAGGCCATTTTGAGCCTACATGCTCAAAGCTTAATCATTTAACTCCATACTAGTCAAAAAACTTTAGTTCTGTATTCGATATCCTGTTTCTAACACTTCTTTCAGATTACAACACCTCAGAATCTCATGATTTGATTTCTAAACTGATGAAATTCAATGAAAAGGGGGTAAAATTGAAGCTTAGGATTGTGCGATGCTTACCAAGTAAGAAGTTTCTACCATATAACTCTAATCTTCTTAGTGGTCTGATCTACAATATTAGGACCAATTACACTTTTGTCACTCAATTCAACCCAACACAAGGGTGATCTATACATTCCCCCGTATAATGCCTCATACAATGCCATCTAAATACTCAAGTGAAAGTTTTTATTGTAAGCAACTTCAGCTAAAGGCGAATGGCTATCCTAGTTGCCTTTCCACTAAAGGGTACATGATCGCAACATATCCTCCAAAGTCTGTATTGTGCTCTCAGTCTGTCTATTAGTTTGTGGATGATAAGAGATATTAAACCTCAACACGGTAGCCATTTCCTTTTGTAGTGCTCCCCAGAACCTTGAAGTAAAATGGGGATCTCTATCTGATGCTATGTCTTTAGGTACACCATGCAATCTTACCACCTCTTTTACATATACCTCTGCATATTTTTTCATGTCATAGGTGGTCTTAACTGGCAAAAGATGTTTTGACTTTGTCAATTAATCTGCAACAACTCATACAGAGTCAAATCTTGCTTGAGTTCTTGATAGACCAAAAA